ACGCAATCCCATGTTTCAATTGCACAAAATTAAAGCCACCAAGCTGAGAGAATAACGTGAAAAATCAAAATGGCTACGCTAGCATTGACTGTAACAAAAAAATGAAGCAAAATCAAGCGCGTTACGTATACGCACAGTGGTATTAAAATTCACAGCGTGAGTTGTGATTTTTATGCACGCGCGTTTACTTTTGGCGCTTACACTTTTTTATGGCCATTAAATCAAAGTACAAATAAAAGAAAGTAAATAAAAGAAGTAATAACGAAATGCGGGCCGACTTTGGAGTGGGCTTTGACGCCTCACTGTAAAGTGCGGGCTGAGCTTTTTGTTCTTGGCTTTCGTTTCAAATGAAATGTTGAAATGCTGTCATAAAAATGCGGAAATTCGTTAAGTGCATTTCATGCTCGACGTTTGTTACCAAACAGCACTCAAACAAGCACGCTCGCCCGCTTCCGAACGAACGACAGAGGGCACCACACGAATTGCAAATTGAATAGCGTCCACATACAAGCACAGAGTTCTGTAGAGTGTGAAACCATAAATACGACAGACATGGGTGCATTGATTAAGTGCATAGCGACAGAAAATTTAAGGCGACTGTTGAAATGCCAATATGTGATCAAATGCTGCAATGCCAGAATTTAAAATGCATCAGATTCAAAGGATTTAATGATAGGATTAAGTCACAACTCTTTTCAGTTTTGTTCCTTTTTTTCATCTTATTCACACGATGTTAACTTGCTCTAATATTGTCTTAAAACACACTTTTTGTCCCCAATAATTATACGTTTCAGGAACCTTACTCCTTAACAATTTCATCCTCAAAATCTGAACCAACAAGTCTCAACCAATCACGTGAATACCGACACAACGATTGTCGAGCAACAAATTTGTTCTCTTCCGAATAAGCTTCAGAAAATATTCGTCCGTGCTGACTAATATAATATAAATATAAATGCAGCTCGAAAAAAGATATAAAAAATAATATAATATTGAAATTCATGATCATCTTACAATTTTATTTAATAAAGAAATATCTTCTAATAAATTTAAAGTAGGAGGAGATGATTTTCTGGACAAACAGTCCTCCTGGAAGACCTTTTGCGATATTTAATGCTAATCGGTATGCAAAAACTCGTTTACGTTGATTTGTCGACTAACAACAAGAACAGATAGCCAGCAACCAATTCGAATAATACTGAAAAATTTTTATTCCATCATACGTGTTATGGTTTTCATGTTTTATGTCACCTGCCATTACCTGCAACAATGTGCATTAAATCATTAGGTGTTCAGTTTATAATACTTATATAATTTATAAATATACATTCCAATTGTTTGTTGTTCTCTTCACTGTAAGTGTAACAATAAGCAGTTAGCATTGTCACCTAATTTGCAACCACGAGCTGCCACTGGAAATGCCAGAAAAATGCCGCCATGGCAGCCACGCTGGCTGCTGCTGGCGACACATGGAACCCAATTAAAATAATTTTGTGGTAAAATACAGGAAATGCTATGAATTGGTTATAAACAAAATATACATGCCCCCACTCCGCACTGCATATGTATTATTGTAGGTACATATTTCAAATGCGAAACATTTCATATGCAGAATCGGAGAGCAATACTCAATGCTCCACTGCAAACAACTAGATTAATTCGACTTTGTGAATTATATTAAATCTGTATATTAAATACACTGACGAGCACTTGATTAGGCAGCTATTATTCAGACATATCCAGTAACAAGAGCTGAGCTTTGGCTAGAAGTGTCTCGAATTGATTTCCGAATCAAGTTAAGTGAGAATAGAATGCAAACGTATAAAATAGGTGAGTATATAGTAAATAAAAAAAAAAATTAATTGTTTGATTAATGGGATTTACCGAGCTTAACACTCAATATTTTGTCATTGTTCAGTCAACATTTTTGGGCACAGAGTTATTTTTTGGGCTCTATTCGTCCGATTACCCTAAAATGTTGTTGATTTTGATTCTTTGAGAAACACCTTGTATAATACTTCATTAATAATTGCTATACTCTTTGAATTTATTGGTTAATGGTTGGGGAAAGTATATGTTTCCTTCGCAAAATGTACAGGAATATTTGCTGATAAATGAAAATAGTAATTAAATACTCGCCAGTGTACACGTGTGCGCATGAACGAATATATATGTGTTATATATGTGTTTTTTGGTCATCTAGATTCCCTCATTGGTGTTGAAATTATTTCGTATGCAAATTCAAATTTAATGAGCTTTGCATTGCTATATCTCTTTATATGTACATGCACATGATTGTGCGGGTGGCGAGTGTTAGTTTTGAGTGCAATAGAGTGCCTGTATGTGTGTGCGCTCTTTTACATAATTTGCGCGTCCAATATTTCACAAATTTTTAATTTTAATTGTTGTCGCTTGTTTGTAAAATGTTTGCATAGTTATATGCGAACTGGGCGTGGCCTTTAGTATGTTTTAACTAACGCGCGCGTCACTGTCTGTCGACAGTAAATGCAACTTTGGCAGCGTAAACAATAACAATAAATTACAATGCATTATGGGTAAATTTCCTACTCATCTGCTCATTGGGTACGCACACAATTAGACTAATTGTGCATTTGAATTGGAAAATTATTCTATATGTGTGCGAGCGTGAGGATTTTGGCCGCCCATTTGTGTTTGTTTTGCAATTATAAATTATTTATACAATAAATTTACATGAAATGAAATAAATGCATTTGTCAGTCTTCATTTCAACATCACATTGTTCACAAATTGGTTACGTAGCTTAAAATGGCTTCAAATTCAATTTAAATAACGTTTCCATGGCAATGTTCGTACGAGCATTTGAGTGTCTGCCGTACAGGTTTTATATTTTGTGCTAATGGCGCGCTTCAGCTTAATTTGCGGCCATCAAAGCGACGACCAAGTTGAGTTGGCCAAAAAAAAGACTGAAATATATCAAGTATCTGACGCTAGAGTTTGCAATTTAAATGTTTCACATCCCTTTGGCTTTGAGTGCATGTGCGTGTGTGTGTCTGTGTCTGTGCGTAAAAACCAATTAAGTGAGACTAAACCGAACAGATTCACGTGGACGTGAAGGCAATATACGTGTATTTGTATAGTACACGAGAATACTTGTATACGTGTACATGCGAGAGGCAGTTATTTTTAAAAGTTTTTCTAAGCCACAACCCTATAACACACAAATACAATTTTTCTGTTAACAGAAATAGTTGCTGCAGAGAAACACTAGCAAAGAGAATGTTTGAACTTTGCTTTATGCACTTATTGTACAACCTTATACGAAACTGGATCTATTTGAAATGGGATTAAAAGGATATGCATAAGAATTGGTTTTAGAACAAAAATAAACTTAATTTACATAAATTAAGGTGTTCATTTATAATTGTACGATGGCTATTATTATTGGTTCAACTTATTGAGTAACTAATCAGTAGAACCAAATCTGGATTTAGCCGTTGATCCATATAATTTTATCAAAAGGTGGACATCAAGGTTATCAATAATTGCAGTCTTGAGTTCTTCAGACAATATACTCGATATTGTCGATTATTTGCTTAAACTCATCTAACTAGCATGTCCAAAATATTCTTCATCATATTAAAGTCCGAAAAGTAGGTTAGCCAACATTGTTATGTTTTTCATTTGCCATTGGATGATGGGGACACACACAATAAAATATATTTTTTATCTTTTAACGACAGATTCACATTGGTTTTTTTCTTCGAGATATAAAATTATCAATCCTGAGATTTTCATTAAACTTATTATTATCATACTATTCATATTCCACTTCTTTCCGTAACTATCACTGGATTTCAAAAAGTTTTCAATATATCAAGAATGCTTTATTTCCTTTCATTCTTGAGGTTCTGTAGAAACTCATTTAAATTCATCAACTCTTTGTGACATTTTGACCACGTTGAGGCGGACTTTCGTTTTTGCAAACGAAAATGCTGGAGTAGCAAAAATAAAATCTAAGCGAAAACGGCAGAATTTTACAGTCACACACAAAGTGTTGCATACTGCAGGGGGCCAGGGACTGGTCGCAGCGAACGATATGAAAACTCGCAAATGCTGTGTGGATTGTGATACTTATGCTTGTCTCTCTATTGTTTGTACGAATGTATGGATGTATGCTTGTTTCTGTGTATGTACGGGTATGTATATATGAATGCATGTAAATATTACAAGTTTCCGCAGCTTGCTGCGTTTCGTTTGTTAGCGAGCACTTTTATGCAACATTTTGCTTTCCTACTTTTCCTTTTTGTTGTTATTGTCGGCCATGCCTCATACTTCAAAGTTTTGAAAGTGTTTTTCTTACGCTTGCCACAAGTGTTATTTTTTGCGCTTTTCTCGTTGACATTTAAAAAATGGCTGCCACAATGCATTTTGCATATGGTAGGGTTAAAAAAAAAGAATAGCAAACGCATAACACCCGCATGACTAAAAAACATACCCTGCCAACATTTAGAACCGTTTCTTTTTCATTTATATAGTCCTACTATATAGCATAAAAAACGCCTGCGCTACTGCTGCGTTTTAAAATGTTGGCAGGGTTTATATATCGGTTGTGTGACTGTGTCTGTGTGCATGACAGTGACTGATAAAACTTATGAACTCTTTGGGAATTCGCAGTCATTTTGTTGTTGCTGAATATAAAAGAGCGTTGTGCGCTTATTTTTCATGTTGCATAGTTTAGTTTTTTCTGTTTTTTTGCTGGTCGATTTATTAAAAATAATTGCGGTTACTGCTTCATTTCGCGTCTATGTTTCCCAATTCTGGTTTTTTCAAGTTAATGCAATTCGTTTAAGTATTCCATGCAACTGAACCACCAACCGCAGTAACAAATGATTATTGTATTATTAAATTAATAATAAATATTTGCCGAGCGCGCGCACACATGCGCACCGAACGTTAACACTTTGAATTCATAATTAATATTAATAAGGAAAGGCGCAGCAATGTTTATGTTAACTCACCTTTCTTCTTTCTTTTTTGTGTGCTTTTTCTCGTAGCTGGAAAAAATAATAGAGTCCTTGCGTTCTTTCCTCTCCTTTCTACAAATGCTGTAGCTTGTTGTACATTTTTAATGTATTTTTAAGTAATTTACTGCAAAGAGAAACATAAAAAATAGAAAAAGCGTGAAAAATATGCAAATTTGCGAAAGGGGGCAAGTTCAAAAGCGAGAAATATGAATCTCTTCTAGTCTAAGGAATATGCTATACTCTTACGAAATGTGGGAAGATCGTTAAAGTTGTATATAGTGAGCTGACAAATTTCTTAAAATTCAGGTGTTTTAGTAGGCGGTAGACTTAGATATTTGTGGAGCATATAGTTCGAGAAAGCACTTCAATTGAGGTATGTTGATTGAGCTAAAATTGATTGTTGTTTCAATTGGGAGAAAAGGATTTTAATTAACGTCCTGAAACTAAGGAGACTTACTACTTAGGTGTTAAAGACACCTAAGAAATTAACATTAGACATTTTATTTGTTTTAAATCACAGACGAACGAAGGACGCCCTTGGCAAGGGTATAAAAAGTATATGCATGGAATAGAAAGCGACGCATACGATTAACATTTCAAATGAGCTTCGTCGTCATTTCTTCAGCGACTTTTTAACTTGACAACTTTTAGCGACAGTGCAGGGGTTGAGCACAAGGATGAAGGTGAGACCGGAGAGAGAAGTGGCTGCAAGTTACGCCCATTATGTATAAAAACTCATGTGTGTGTGAGTTTGTGTGTGAATGTATGAGTGTCTGTGCTATTATAATACTAATTATGTCATACATATGCAAAAGTAGCAAACAAGCTGTGTATCTGTCTATGAATATACGAGCATGTATGTATGTATGTATGTCTGTTTGTCAGGTCCTGCTGAAGTGCATGACACGCGTGTGTAAGCCACTTAAATTGTACCGTATTTATGAGCGCGACAGGCAAAAGGGTTGAGAGCGTCAAGTGTGGACTGCTTTCCTTATACACATGTATGTAGATAGGTGTGTGTACTCGTATGTGCGTGTGTGTGCTAATTTAATTAAGCACACTGCTACTTAGCTGCATTGCGATTCATACGTACTACATTAAAAACAATTTGCAAGTGCAGAAGCGCACACCCGGCAATACTTGTAAATAAAAACACGTTTGTAGGACCAGCAAGTAAATATTTGACTTAATGGCCGTCCCACTTATCCGAGACTTTCAAATACTCGAGCACATACTAATATGGACGATTTTTGCCTTAAACTTTGCTTGCAACTCAATCAGAAATACCAAATTTGTATCTCAAATGCCAATTAAGTTACAAAACCATAAGATAGCACAACATTTGAATTACTGCAAAATGTAAATTTATGATTTCTATTTTCAATTTATGCAAGAAAAATAATTGCGTTGCTTCTCCGTAAGATGGAAATCAATGAATAGATAAACTACAGGAGTGTATCCATAAACCAGAATTGAATGAAGCACAAACAAAAGTACAGAACTTTTGTTTATTAAGCTTCAACTTTGCTTTAGCTCTTTCCATTTAAGGCCAAAAATTCTATGCTACTTGTATTTTGAGTTTTATTTGTGCTTCCAACTGCTGAACACAAACTTCATGTAAATGTATTTATTTTAGAGTGAATGTTTGTTTGAATTTTAGTTTTATATTCATATCTAAAAGCTTGTGCTTATTTTAAGAGAGAAGGTAAATAACAACAATGTTGTTAGATGTGTTTGTAATATAGAATTAAGTTTTTCATTTCTGTTTTTTTTTTCAACTGGCCGATTACAGCTTTTCAATAATCAGATTTATGCTCACAGCTGAAAATACTGCATTGTTATGCTTAGCTTTATATTTTCTTACAAGTAACTGATAGGTTTCTCTGAAAACAATGAAACAGGTAAAGGCTCAAAAATATGTTACTTTTAATACTGCCTTTGACTTCACACATTATAGTTTAACTTTTAACGATGGTGATGCTCGTTTCGTGTAAACAATTCACACTGTACAACAATTTATTTTGAAAATGTGTAATCAAATTGAGTAGATCTTTTGACCAAAGGTCAGGCTACGCAGCTTGGCTTGCTTATGGCTCTTTGCCATATTTTGTTGGCATTTGATTCGCAAAATGTGTAACTCGGCAACAAATGAATATTTAAAAATTTCTACGAAAATATGAATATGCAATCTGTATTTGTGTTGTTTATTTACATATTTTACTTGTGCACTACTTCAGATGCAAGCTGGGTCAAACATTTTTAATTGCTAGTTATCATTTTATGTAGTTGGATTCTAAAAATCCGAATTACATTGCCAAGCCAAACATTTATAGCAAATTGTTCAAAGGCGAGAACTATTGAAATGAGTTTCATGTTTGAATTCAATCCAATACATTCATACGTGTACATATATTTCAAACGTTTTGGAATTCTGTACCTGAAAATTTATGTATTTCTTATACCCTGTACGCAAAGGGTAAGAGGGTATACTAGTTTATGCGAATGTATGGAACACACAGACTCTACAAAGTGTACATTTTGAATGAGGATGACACGACGAGTGGATATAGCCAGGTCCGTCTGTCTGACTGTTATTGAACTTATAAGCATCGCGTGCTTCCAGCCATTTAGCAGAAAAGTTATATTTTTCAAGAAATTGAAAAATGATTTGATTTCGTGTTTGCAATACTCTGCCAAGGTGTCAGTGAAGTAGTAGATTAAAAAAAAGCGACAATTTGTAGTCCATCTAGTCTATCCATCTAGTATCTTTTGTTTTACTTTACTTTCTTAAATAATGCTATCTACTTGTATGTATACAAGAATATGGTGTGAATGAGATATGTTTTATCTAATTTTAAAAGCTCTTTCCGCACTCTGTATATTTCAAATATTCATAACTACCTGACTCTGCACATTATGTGTATCACATACACAGATATAATAGCAGATTGCTAACCATTGCATACATGTTTGTATCTTCTAATTTGCATAGGCATACGAGTATCCTAACCGCAGCAACAGCGGCGGCTCTTTGTTGCCACATTATGTGGCTGCCTCAGTCTCCGCCTCTGTTTCGGCCTGTGTCTCTGCTGCAGGCTCAGCCAAGCATGCAACCTGCTGCACATAACACACAATCCACATGCATTCCCCTTTTATGACTGTCTGCGTTTCTAGTAATATGTAGATGCATATGTCTGTCTGTCTGTCTGTCTGTCTGTATGTTTGTCTGCTCGCCATTTTCATATTGAAAATCACTGAAGTGGCAGAGACCGCTGCTTTTTATGCCTTTTCACCCCTTCTAGCGGACTACATTTTGGCTTCTTTTTGCAGCAAAACAAAAGCAGGGCATGTTAATTTTAATAGCAGAACACATATACAAGTACACACACAAACACACAAGCTGTTCATCATAATGAGCGCTGTTTAGCTGCAGCTACAACTCTCAATAGACGTTAATAAATGCAAAGTCTGTATGCAGGCATGTGTAGCATAATTTTTATTGCCTGCTCCACTCTTTTAATAATAACCGAGTAATGTGTAAATGTTTTGTAAATGTGTGAGTCTGGTTGGAGGGATTAGGGAGTAGGGGGCTATTGACGTTCACATTTCAGCCATTTGCATTGCAGAACAAATAACAGAAAAAAGAAATGAAAGAGAGTTATACTCGTATTTGCCATGCTTTAGTGCATCCTTGGGTGCCTGTTATCTGCTGCTTGCCAACACACTCACCGCAAGTTCTCCCTTCCTTCGTTCATGTTTTTGTGTATCTTTTGAATATTATACACAAATACAAAAACACTCACACAAACACACACACACACACACTCAGGCACACTCACTTGCTTGCATTTTTACATAATTACATTTCAGGCGAAATGCGCGTACACTTTGCTATTTATACACAAATAACACAGCCCTCTCCCGTTTTTGGGCAACATGTTTTGTTTTTGTTTAGTTGCTAATTTATTTGAATATGCATTTGGGTTGCTGCTGCATTCTATGTACTGCATTGTTGTTGTTATTGTTGCTTTTGTTGTGGTGTGTTATTTGTTGCCTGTTGTCCGCTTTCATGCAACTTGTGCTCTGTTTTAAGCTCTGCTTTCTGCCGCCGCTTTGTATTGCCATTTGCTGCCACTGCCACTGCCACCGCCACCGCGTAGTCGTCTTTTGTTTACATGTTCAAATGAACGCATATCTCACAGCTCTCCCTCTATTCGCATACATCCCGCATTTTTTCCGCTTGGATATTTATAAAGTGCAAAATTGTAATTACTTCAATTGTGCTGTTAGCAGTAGCACCCCCACCCCCTAATGCTTTCATTCCCCCGCCAAAAAAAAAAAGTGGAATACATCCCACTAGCTTCATTGCATGCTTTGTTGTAATTTGGGGCGAAGTCTATAGTTGAATTGTTTTCTGCGCACAGTATACACTTATTAAGTGGGACGAAGGCGTTTATCAATTAAAACGAATTTCAACAGTAATAATCTCACTTTCTATGAGCACACTTAGCAAGGTTGGATTAAGCTTTAATCCATGTAATCCCTATGTAAACATATAAAAACCTATGTTTTTGAATTAAGAAATGCTTTCATTTCTTCGTATTATAGATCACATTTAACATTAAGGAGAGAAAACCATCAGGGCAGGAAAGAGAGCTAAGGTTTGTCATGCAAGCTGCTTAGATAATTTTATAGACCTTTAGAATCAGCAATAAAATACTTAGTTGCACAATGAATTATATAACTTAACTAATATCAGCTATAATTTTAATACAGAAATAAACTTTCTGTATTTGAGTATTTTGTATTAGCTTAAAAAGTTATTAAACGTTAATTCTACTTTCCGAAGCAATTTTACTGTTTGGTTTTGTTTTGATGATGAAATGAAAATGAAATGTTAACAAACCATTATGCTTATTGATCCTTTATGTATGCACATACATATGTATAAATTTATAATGGTAAATAAAGTAGAGACGAATCGTGTTAAGTTTCTATGTGTTTTAGGAAATCTTACTTCAGACCGCCTCCTCTCATTGGAAGTTAGAAAAGAAAGTAATCGACACTGGCTTTTATGATAGATCCTTCTATTTCCGGTGATAGACACCTGCCAGCTCTTTTACC